TGTTCACGCGCAAATTTTACCGCAACTTCTCTGCACAGCACACTTGTACGGACAAATCGCTCGACTGTAAACATCTAATTTTCGCGAGCTTATCAGGTTTTTACTTTGATCACAACTCTACACTAAAACTTATTTTTACACTAAAACTTATTTTATTTTACTAATAGCATAGAGTAGCATAATAATAGCATCCATTACGAGTGTCAACTATGAATTTCCTATAGCAACAACCTACAAAGTGCCTTTACAAAGTGTTATAATCCTTTCTTCTCAAGCCAAAAGCTTCACATTTTTGAATCAGAATCATGAAACATACAACAACTGCATAACAAAACAGTAACAAGATAAAAACACAATGAAAAAGGAAGGGAATTCTCTGTTCCTACAGCTACTACCTAAAACTATGTCGGTATCACTTGAGGGTCATTAACCAACTCCACTTGTCTAATTGTGAGCTACTTTTTCCCTGATAAGGAAACTCGAAAATCTATACAGTGAATGCCAACGTACAAAAACAGGTTCGTTGAATCCAAAGCGAATGCATGATCTTCGGAAGTCTATGAAGTTAGAACTTTGGCAGCATGAAAGATGATAAGAGAATACTTATGTAAGAATACGTCAAGCCAAATGTGATCAAAACCTAAGCATCGTGAGCAGCAATCTTTTCCTCGTCGAGCTTTCTCAATCGTGAAGCAGCACTACCTCGCCATTTATAACCTTCCTCTTTCATCAATTTGGTCACTCGGTCTTGGAACTCTTGTTCCGCTCGCAAATCCTGAAAGTCAAGATAAAGATGATGTTGTAATCGATGTCAAAACCAGTCATTCGCCGAAAAAAAAAGCCCAAAAGCGCTCAAATAAGCTGAAAAAAGCCCAGAAGCGCCCAAAAAAGCCGAAAAAATCCCAAACAAAGCCCGAAAGTGCCCAAAAAAGCCGAAAAAACCCCAAAAGCGCCAGAAAAACCGGAACGCTTATTTCGCGCGCAAGTAATAGATACGTATTTTCCTTCATTTTCTGTCGTCTGCACTTAGAAATATTGTCAGAATTCTACTAAAAGTTTCAAGCCAAATGAAACAGAGTTCAATGTAACTTAGCAACTGTATATTCAGGAAACTGTATGGCTCACGTGCATGGCTGCGCCATCCATATTCATCCGGCTTAGAACTTTTGGTAGAATTCTGACAATATTTCGATGTGCAGACGACAGAAAATAAAGCAAAATACGCATTTATTACTTGCGAGCGAAAGGGCGCATTCCGACTTTTTCTGGCGCTTTTAGGCTTTTTTGAGCTTTTCCCGCCTTTTGGGCGTTTTTGGGCTTTTTTCGGCGAAATATGACGGGTCCTTTACTTATGCTATAAAAAGATAACTATGCTCACGTTCTCATACTCTCTTTTGAAGGTCCAATAAGCTTCATCCACCGTCTTGTCCATACTAAGGGCATATAGATGAACTACGGCTGCTAACGTTAACCTGGAATTCATTTCAGAGCTAATTAATCACTACAGTTGAGCTCAGCATAGCGCTATATCTATATCAAAACTTCCAAAAGACAGGGAGCCAAAACATGCTGTAAAATTACACATGCGAGTCATACATGAAACTTACCCTGAGGTAACTCCTAAACCAACCGCCTTCAGTGAACCGATAAGTCCAAGCGGGAATGTGAATACACCACCAACTAACGCTGTAAATGTAGATCAACCAATCAGAGAAATCTAGTCTAATCTACCTTCATGAAGTGTGACAGCGAGCACACCTGAAAAAGCTGGTAGGTACCAGGATGAGAACCGTTGTCGATACGCAGCTACATGTGTAGATGCAACACTTAAACGTAGAAATTCATTTTAAGTGAAGAATGTACAAGAATATGCCATGATAATAACTTACACAATAGAGCCAGAGATTATGGCTGCTTTTGCTCCCATAACTAAGCCACTTTTTGCAAAACGTACGATAGCGTAGTCCATTCGTCGCTTCTGAATAAAAGAAGAGAACATCATTTTTACAATGGTACGTAGGCTAGAAGCAACTGAAATTTCGACGTGTGGTTAACGCATAGTTACCCCCTGTCTCATTTGGAGTGAGCCAGATTAAAGCGGCTCGATCCCTCGCGGCCGCCTCGCCCCTTGCGCCGCTTTCCGAACGTGTCGTCTGAACATTTTTCCGCATCTGAGCATGAGCACGCTAGAGGCAGTGTCTCGCGAGAATCGTTTTCCAGTTTTTCGTATTTTCGGAGCCTTCTCGCCATGAGAAAGTTATATATGGGCTTTTTCGCGCACGAAAGACGAAAATGAGCCTTTTCAAAGCTTTCAAGGTCCGCATTCAGCGAAATACGCGTGAAGTCTTAGGTGCCCGTCTCCCTCATTTCGGACTCCGCCCACTTACACGCGTTTTCCACTAAAAACAGACGAAAGCTTCGAGAAAAGCTCATTTTCGCCATCTTCATGCGCCGAGAAGCCCACTTATGAGTTCCTCATAGCGGGAATACCCCGGAAATGTGAAAAACTGGAAAACGAAATTCTGCCGGGGCACTGCCTTTAAGCCGCGAGAAAACGGTCAAACACGTTCGCGAACGCTGCGCAAGCCCAGTGAGGCGGCCGCGCGAGACCAGAGCTG